TCTTTTTTGTATTTTATAATATGTTCCCCGCTAGGGTTTATTTTTAGGAGTTTTAGAAAAAAAAAAAAGAGACACGTGGCAGCAGAAGATCCACCCGGTGTTTTTCACCGGGTGTAGGATCAAGGGAGCCGAAAATTGAGATATAATAGAATTTTTTTTAATAATCGGATACATAGAATCAAAATTAACATTAAAAAATAATTGAAAAACCAATTCCAATTTCTATTAGAAAAATTGAAAACCGAACATGCTCGTAAATTGAAAATTTTCGGATTGCAACGACTCTTTACGTTAATTAATCTTTATAAGAAACTCATGACAACTTTGATATAGAAGTGTAATTTCGTGGAGAAAAAAATATTTTACGAATTATTTTCGAAACTTCAAATCTCAGAATTAGCCCAATTCGATGTAAATAAATAAATAAATAATAATAATGGAAATTAATTTTTAATTTAGAATTTGTATGGAAAAATTTATTGGCGAATCATAAAATAGTGAAAGGTGTGGTGGTGAAGTGGACATGCAAAAACGTGGGTCAGAGTTAGAAACGGGGCGGGTCCCAGCAACAAAACGGACCGTGACGTCATTCATTGCCGTCCCAGTGGTCCAGACCCAAGTGGGCCCCACTGGGCTCTGGTCAAATAAATGTAACGGTAATCTTTCTCCTGATTATGACCAAAAACTGGTTTAAAATATTACGTTTAGATGTTGGACACGTCTGTGTGAGAAAATAAACCTTAATTGACAATAATGCCCCCACGAATACTAATAAATTGTTTTTTAAATATATTTTAGAGATAGTAAAAGTAATTATCAAATTATATTTTTCTCGTGTGCTATATCTATAAAATAATGATTTATGATTTAAGGGAAGATAAGATAAACGTGTTATATGAGGAGATACATTTTTTTTTTTTCTTCCGTTATTTGTTTGTGTTAACCGACTCCATTTTGATCTCCTCCTATGAATAAGACTCAAGTCAATGATAAGCACTGTAGCACCAGAGGGTCAAAGTCAGTTAGTTACGTATAACTGCTTTATCGCACGGTAAACGCGAGGGAAATGAGAAAGCTAAATCGACTCCTCAAAGTGTTGCAAACTACCGACTTTAAACAATTTGTCTACATTTTGTTTAGGGGTGTCGATGATGCATACACGAGTTTTTCCAATTTCCAATATGTAATTTTAAGAATTTAAAAAGTATTGGGCCGATTCTATGCTGATTTCGCCACTGGACTAAGTTGATTTCGATTGGATTAGGCCCAGCTATTACTATAATTCACCCAAATCTTTGATAATGTTACCATAAATATGCATCAACATGCAATTACACCAATAAGTTTTGTTATTCATCATCATTATTAGATATAACATATATAATAACATGTGATCCCCATCCTAGATTTGGACATCATGATTAAGTTAACTAAATTAATCCCTTGTGATTTATAAATAGATTTGTGTTCACAAATCAAATGTCACACCTCCAATTTCCCATCAAAATTTCAAGCAATAAAATAAATATTAATCCAAAAAGGATGGAAGGAAAGAAGATAATGCAACTCACCGTTTGGGGTTACTTACTCATTGTAGCAATGCTCTTTGCAGGCGGGCCGGGTCGGGCTGCCGGGCGGATCATCACAACTGACCCGTTTCCCTGCACCCCTAACTATTGTGACTATGTGTGCTACAAGACTGGTTCGCAAAAAGACTGTGGAAGTGGACACAAAGTTTGTGGTCATTGTATAAAAGTTGCTGGACAAGTTAAACCTGTTTGTGAGTGTTTTAATTAATTAAAGTATTGTTATACTAAATAAATAAATAATAATAATAAAAATATTGCAAATTTTGATTTACTTTATAGTAATCCCATTGAAGGATTGGTATTTTGTATCATTGCTGCTTCTCATAATTCGATTTTTTTTTTTTAATATTATTGCGAGATCTCTTGTAGACAAATATTTTCAGGTTGATTTCAGATTACTTTAAAAAGTGGTGTTATTTCCACGTATCTCAATTCACCACCAAAAATTATAAAATATCACAATACCCCTCAAATTTATAATTTACCACTCTTCCTTATATTCACTTAATCATCATGTGTTCTAAGTTATTTCCATTTTTTTTTTGCAATGAAATAGTTATTACAAGATATTAAAACTTTCATATCAGATGCCCTGCGGTTCATGTATATTTTTTTTAGGAAACAAAATAATATTTAGCCAAACTGACCAATTTCAGAGTATGTTCAGGACCTTCCATACACGCACTCTTAATTTATTTCTCAAAAAACGTGAAATGATGCTCTTTTTGACATTCGGAAATGTTTTTCTCTGACGAAAGTATTATTCACTTGAGGTGGTGAGGGTGAGATTTCCAATGAAAATGGTGGGGTTTTTTTTATAAACATTTTAATTAGTTTAGTGGTAGAGACGATTTATAAATTTGTAAATAATATAGGTGAAAAAATAAGAAAGGGGTAAAAATGGAAAATACATTTAATTTGGTTGTGAAATAAGATATTTTGATGGTGGAAATAGCACATCTCTAATTTAAATGTTGTGGGATTTAATTTATATTTGCGGTTTAACGACGTAATTTGATCGAATAGTAATGTTGTCAAAATCAGACCGATTCGACCGAGACCCGGCGATGAGGCAGTCCGGTCTGACCACGAAAACTGGAAAACTAGAAAATCGGGTCAAACGACCGAACCCCGTTTGACCGGGTAAAACTCAGAAACCGACGAACCGGTTAAATAATATAACAACAACTGTTTGACCAATGCAGATTATTAAATTAAAATTTATAGTTCAAAACCTAGATTATTGTAACTGAAAATTTAACGAAAAATCTACATAGAATTCGAAACAAGAAAAATACAATTCTATACATCGAGGAAACCGTTGACTCGCAAAATTTCACTAACTCAATTCTAAACATCACATTTTGTTTCCATCTAAATCGAAAAGACTAATATAAATGAGAGAAAATCGAGAATAAAATCTTCCAAATTACTAGTACTTCCAAAATCGACTACAATCATCCTATAGCAAATTGATGGCATCTCACTATTTCACATATAATTTGGTAAGTACTCTCCTAATTCACATAATACATATGATTACCAAAACTCACTTTCCATATAATCCATCTCCCACATACTATATAATAGCTATACCTAGTGAGCACTAATGCATACAATAATCACATTTCCCAACAAATATTCACATATATTCTTTCTCCAAAAAAAAGTTAAGAACAAAATGGAGAGCAAGAAAATTATTCGGTTGAATATTTTGGTTTGTTTTCTAGTTATTGCAACATTTTGCGGTGATGTTCGTGTGGAGGGGAAGGGGTTCATTATTATAACTACTCCGACTCCATGCGGTGATGAATTGTGCGACTATTTATGCAAGAAAGAAGGTTGTGGGGGTCACTATTGTATAGGAGGCAAGTGTATACAAGATCCAAGATTTAAAGATGGCCCCGTTTGTTATTGCAGAGACATCGGTGAATAAATTGAGGGAGAAAAAAAAATAGATCTATTCATACATCGAGTGATGTTGCCCTTGGTTTATATGTATCGTGCAATTACAAATATACGTGATTGCCCCTAGCTATTTCTGTATTAATCAGTAATAAATTTGATTCAAGTTATTCTAAATTATCCTTTTGCGTCGATAAAGTGACTAATCATGCAAATTTCCATGTGACATAATTGATCTTAAAAATTAATATTAAAAATTTAATTGAAAACGGTCTTTCATCATTGTCTTTTCTACTGTATGTAAAACTGAGTATCACAAAATTTTCTAGTACCTGATCGAAGCTGTTTGGTTGTTTCCCATATTCGCGGATCCGCTTTCTAAGTGTATGAATCTCGTTTACAACAATCGAGCTTCTCAAGCCAAACACGACCTTAAATGCAATCACAGTTCATCCTTCACAGAACTACTGCTGCTGCTGCTTTCCTCAGTAGTATCAGAAACAGTAGTGTGCTTCTTCTGTGCTGGCTTTTGAAGCTTGAATGGTATTGATGCATGTTTTTTAAGAAACTTGTAGAATTCTACTACAGTTCGGTCGTTGTCAAAAGTAATCTGTAATAAAAAAAAATTCACATTCCGATTAATTTCATAACATCCGTTCTTTAAGGAGCATTCAGAAAAATAAAAGAATCGGATAAGGAAGTAAAGTAATATCTAACCGGATCGAAGCTCTTGTTGCCAGCCGGAAAGAAAAGAATCGTAGGGAAACCATCGGGCTGAAAAAAAATTTAAATGTGTGTGTTTGTGTGAGAGAGTATCTCCTGGGGTAAAGGGTGCTAAAAAAATTAACAAAAATGTTCTTTTCTGAAATATGAATAATTGTGTGTGTGTGTGTGTGTGTGTGTGTGTGTGAGAGAGAGAGAGAGAGAGAGAGAGAGAGAGAGAGAGAGAGAGAGAGAGAGAGAGAGAGAGAGAGAGAGAGAGAGAGAGATAGAGAGA